TCTCTTCTACATTTCCAGGTACTACCACATCCATTATATAAACATTTTTGTCCTTCTTGTCAACAGTTGTTGAGTTTCGGGTGTATGTGGCAGTTGCTTGAATTCTAAAGTCTCAGAGCACTTTAGCTTTTTAATTCAACAACTTCATAGAAATTGTTTCATGAAGTTAAAGATTTTATTCTGTTAAGCCTCATAAGAGCCCAGTTGAAAAACAGTATGAAAGCACAAGTAAAAAAATAAGTTGTTAATAATACTTCAAAAATTTTAGCTTGTAAAAATTGTGATTATATAATCAAAATAGCCTTGTTTTTAAAACTATTAGGAATATCTTCTCTCTATATACGATTTTATGAATAATATGGAGAATATGCAAGAAACTAAGAATCACTGAGATTGATGAGCATATGACAGATTATGTAGCAACTGAGGAATTAAAACTTTTTGTCAGTATTAGATGAATCAGTGCACAACCTTAATTAGATGGAAATTGAGAACAGAAATAAAATGAACAGCTTGCTTCTTTAAAAAAGGAAAAGGAAATGAGGCACTTGTAATTAAGGGAACTAATATTTTACAAAATGCATATATTCATTTCTTCAAATTAGAATTCTTATTTTTACAGATTCTCTATTTGTGTCATTTACATTTATATGCTATATGCTACAGATATATATCTTTTAACCAGTAACTTCTTCAAGATTGAATTTCAATCTATTGAGTATAGACACTGAAGTCTTGAGGATAGACTCAGGACATATTACAGAGAATGTAATGCAGCATCAATAAATTATAGCATTCCTATGCATACAACCAAAGGTATGAATCTGGAATATAGATAACAGCTTTGTCATAATATAAAAGTAATAACTAGAGAAGACACTTGAAATAATCAACATCTTCAAAGGAATAAAATTCATAAGGGAAGACAAAAGCAACAACACACTATCTTTCCTGGATATTCCTATCAGCAGAGGAGTGGCAGCAAATAAGAAACATGTCTATTTTAAAACTACGCACATGAACCAAGTGCTCTATTACCAAAATTACAATCCAATTTTCTAAAAGAGGAGCTGTGTAAGAATGTTATTCAGACTGTAGTAACCCATAACACCACAAAAAAGAAGCAATTGCCTAGACAACATCTTCCACAAAAAATGGTTACCCATAAAACTTTATCATAAAATGACTGACCATTTAACTCACTACAGCACAACAAACACAAGTTACAAAAAGGATAACAACTTCATACATCAAAATCAACTTAGAAAGAACCAAAAGACTATTACAAGCACCCACTACCACAAACCAACCCAAGCCTTCCAAAACATCAGCATTCAAGATCCAATGTAAACTCCTTAATTTCACAATAAATGGATAATACTAGCCATAATTTCAACTGGAACAGTATGAGCATCCTAAACCAAGCTAAATCCCCAAATACTAGGGAGTTCCTGGAAGCTTGGGACAAATTAACCATCAACAGGGACAATGAACAACTTTTACACAACATTAAAAAAACAATAAGAAAGCTAAAAAGGAAACAAATTCAGAATATCTCATTGCTAGCAACCAGATAAGCAGAAATTAACACTAGGATTAAGGCAGACACACAATCAAACAGTCAACAACAACCTAATCAAAGAACTACCAAAGAGAAAACAACAGCCCCATCAATACTGATAGGACAAACTACTATAAATAAACAGAGAGCAAAACCCCCTCCCTTCTAGATGATGTTAGCTAGTTGGGTAATGAAATGTCTGTAAGCAACCAAATTCAGAGAGCACCAAGGACTCCACAGCAATTATTAGTTTTATTAGACTTTACCAAATGTTTAATAAGCTCACAGGTGCTGACAGTAATTTAATACTTAAAGGTGTCTATAAAGTTTGTAAAATTATCATGCTTCTTACTGAAATAGTCTATCAGACATTCAGGCCAAAAATGTAACACTTTATTGATAGACTCTACTTCACAGAATGCAATGTGTAAATTATCTGGTAATCAGTAAAACTATCTTAAGTTTGTGTGAAATGTAATTTAGACAAAAGACCAATTACAGCATTACATAGGTCCTGGAATTCACTGGATAAGAGTAAATTTGGGTTATTTTTAAAGGCATTGTTTTAAATACAAATATACTTGTCGGGGATCAGCAACCAGAACAAATCTGCAATTGCTTTGTTGTTGAACATTATTACAAGAATCTTGCCAGACTGACTGTCTTCTCTTGGGAAAAGGCAAATATAGTCTTAAAGGTTTGATCTCAGACATTTTCTCCCCAAATCAACTCCATGCTGGAATGTCTCTTTTCTCTCCCTAGAGCAGGGGTGTCAAACTCAAGGCCTGGGGGCCAGATCCAGCCTGCAGGGTGATTAGATCTGGCCCGCAGGGCCACCCTGGAAACAACAAAAGACTGGCCTGCAGTGCCTCTGCCAGCAAAAACAGAACTCGGGTGGGCTGCTCACAGCCCTCTTGAGCTCTGTTTTCATTGGCAGAGGGTTACTTACAGGAGGCTGTTACAGCCAAAAACGGAGCTCAGGAGCCTGTTTTCTCTGGCAGAAGGCTCGGGCCACCACAGGCACCCCTGACACGAGTGATGTTGAGCTGACCACACCCACTCTGGCCACGCCCATTCTGGCCCTCCAAGGTAAAATACAATCCTGATGCGGCCTTCAATGAAATCGGGTTTGACACCCCTGCCCTAGAGGTTCCTCTTCTCCTTCAGCTTCCATCACAGAACTTTTATATACATGTTTACTTGATTTCCTGTTACCTTTCTGTTAGCATAAAATATTTTATGTGGCTTGTAGTATGAAACATACACATACAAAGAAGTACATTAAAAAAAAACCAAATATATAAATATATATAATATATTCACTAAACATTCAACACATGATGAGAGCATTTTCCTAAAATGTAGAAGACAAATACAGTTCCCAAGATAATGCATTTTGCAGCTAATATTGATACATAGAAACCACCATTTATTTATAAATTACAGTATTTCATTTCATTTCCAGGCTTACCACATAAGTTTTAAAATAGTTTTTCTAATAATCTGATAAATGCTGAGCCGGGTTCCATATCCAGGCATGTACTTATTTCCTTATGGTTCATTAAGAAAAATTCCTAAACTCTGGACTCTTCATCTCAGTCCTGACCAGAATTCTTTTAATTGGGTTTAGGAGACAAAGCTGTGCATTCAATTTTGTCTGGTATGTTGCTATGCCGCTATTGCTATTTTGTAAGCACTAATTGCTGGAGACTGAAAAAAAATAAGATCTTAGGAAACAGATCTCCAAATGAGCATAGATATAGATACAAAATAACCAGGTTTATTAAAGCACAGATATAATGTAAAATTCCTCTGCTGGATGGAATGCAAACTGAAATCAGTATAGAAAAGAGAAAGAGAATGAAGAAGCTACTATAACCAAGATTTAGAATAGGGCTGTCAAACTTGTGGCCTCTGGGCCAGATGTGTCACGTGCTAGCCATTCCCACGCCCAGTTTAGTGAAGGGGAGAAAAGTCATGATACGTCACATGATGCAGCTGTGACGAATCAAGTTTGACATCCCTGATTTAGAAGAACCAAGGATGTAAATTAAAGTTAGACATAATGCAAAATAGTGACAATGCGTCTATGAACTGTTAAATCATACTTCTCATTCAGTTAGAACTATTTGCTCTTACTTAGCCCAATTGTTCATGCAACGTATTTTCTGGCAGCGGGATAAGCCAAATTCTTCATATGTCAACAATCTGTTATTTTACAAATACACTCTTACTATGCTGATCTTTAGCTATCATGACCCTAGTAAACGTTCATCCTCCAGAATCCTCCAGACAAATACAAATTTTTGCATTCTATCATTGGTCAGGTGGAGGAAGAAGTGTTTGACTTATGGAAGATGTTGAGTATTGTGAGGAGGCAAAAATGATGAAGTAAATCAGGGGTGTCAAACTCAGGGCCAGGGGACCATATCTGACCTGTGGGGTGTTTAGATCTGGCCCACAGGGCTTCCCAGGAAACAGCAAAGGACTATGATGCCCTCCTGCAGCCCTCTGCCAGTGAAAATGGAACTCTGTTTTTGCTGGCGGAGGGTTGCAGGAGGCATTTGCAGCCAAAAATGGAGCCCAGGGGGCACATGCAGCCCACCTAAGTTCTGTTTTCATTGACAGAGGGCTGCAGGAGGCATCACGGCTGAAAACGGAGCTCATGAGCCCATTTTCTCTGGAAGAGCACTCGGGCCACCACAGGCACCCCCAACATGAGTGTTATCAAGCTGGCAACACTCACTCTGGCCCCCGAGGTCAAACTCAACCTTGATGTGACCCTCAATGAAACTGAATTTGACGCCTGTGAAGTAAATAAAGGGTGATATGCAGATATATACATTTGGCATATTATTTTTTGAAAAGGCATCTTCATTATACACAGAAAAGAACATAAGACTTAAGAAATGTTTACTTATTCTAATTCAAATGAATTAGCATTGATGAAATTAATGGAAAGATTCCAGCCAATGAGGGATTTTGTCAAACAATTTTTTAGAATAATATTGGTAGATATTTTCAGACAATTATACAGCAAGAATTAAAAACAAATAATTTATTATTATTGTTGTTGTTGTTGTTGATATATGAGTTTGTGGGTATACTTGGATAATTTTTAAGCCCATATATAATATTTAACTATAAGTGTTAGATATATAAATATATACAGCAGGTAGTTCTTGTATATGACATCCTTGTTCAATGACTGTTTGAATTTATGACAGTGATGCAAAACCTTACAACCAATCCTTTTAAAGCAAAGAAAAGCTAAAATAAGATCATAAGCACAATTGCAGTTTCACTTGCCTTTTCCAATTGTGATCAATAAATTACGACTACTTTGTATTGGTTTTGGTACTCATAAAAGAATTATTCAGCAACCTGGATTTTAACTTTCATCAACACCCACAGTGTTAAACTTCAATCTTTCGTTTACCTGGTATGTTATTTTCTTCAATGCTGTCCTCAACAGACACAGTGGAGCAGTTGGCTGGACTAACTGGAGAGCTGGAATTAAAGCTTGCGTATCTTACAGAAGAGTTGATTTCAAAATAGTCGTGGCTCTGATTTAATCGGTTAAATTCAAAAGCTGATACTATTGATGTACGTTGCTTGGCCTGCAAAAATAAATTAATTAAAAGTAGACACTACTTTATTTTTTCTACAACTGCAGCTCACTGCTTCTGTTCAGTTTTTAAAACCAGATGCTATAAAATGTTACCAACTTTTTAAAATACACCTAGAATAAGAAATGCATTATAATCAGAAATACAAAATCAAGGTAACATTATTAATTGTTCTATAAAAAAAACCTGAATGCCAATTTTAAAAAATCCAACTCTTGAGAGATATCAAAATATTTATTTATAAATTCCATTCTCTAACCAAAGTTGTACTGAAAATTATATACAATAATGAAAAAAGGTTAATGTTAGCAGTTTCAAAATTATTTTAAGCTTTAAAAGACAATATGGAAAGATAAAAGTAAGAAAATCCCTGACGGACCAGGGATCAGCCAATTACCCAGATAAATTAACATTATCCATTCCTCTTGGAGAATGGATATTTAACACATTCAACTTCTGATTCAAGCCATAGCATATAACCAGCATATAACCATAAAACATTGGTATTTTCCACAAATTAAAGTAATATTATGTTTAAAACAATGAATTGATAGTAATAACCACATTTGCAGTAGAATAATGAAGCTAATGCTTAAATATTTTGGACACACAAAGTTTAAAAAACATTAAGGAAAATACATGTCCCTGGAAAAATGGAAGGCAATTAAAAAAGACTAATAGGTATGATTACTGATGACACAAAATAATCTCACAACAACCCTAAAAAACACAGTTATAGCTTTACAATTTGGATGAAATGGTTGGATTATGAAGAATCAAAAGCAGCCAAACAACTTCAGAACCACATCAATGGCAAAAATTCCATAGTTTGATAATTAATATAAGTTTATTTTCAATTGCTCACCCTGAAGAAGCCTAGAATAGTATATTAAAGGGAACAATAAAAAGGGAATAATTTGATTTAAAAAATCAACCACAAAATATCTATCATAAAAGAAAATAATACAAAAATTAAAATAGGGATCATTAAAAAATTAAAAATAGTTTTTTATTTTAAATAATCAATCTTCAAAGGCTGATTGATCCTGAAAATAAAAGGTTTCATTGACATATGTTTAATGTTGATCCTTGTTTGCAATCTTGGAAACTGCAAGTGAAATTTTCATCCCACACTTATAGTGAATTCAATTTATTTATTTAGCATATTTATACAGCCACCCACCATACCTAAGATTACTCTGGGCAGCATTGGCAATTAAAACATGGCAATTAAAACAATCATGAAACACAGATGAAAAATAAAACATTACCACCACCACCACCACCCCAAGATTTCAGGAGAACAGTAATTTCATATCACATAGTCACCTTGCAGGCTCACTGTAATCAAAGATTAAAACCATCACCCTGAATTACACCTGGAAGCAAATGCAATTTGCAATGCAATTTGTAGACAGAGTGTAACATGTGTCATCCTAGGGCACACAAAACTGTCTAAACAGCCTCATATTGCACCAATTGAAGCTTATGGATACTTGTCAAGGCCAGCCCTATGTGAAACGTGTTACAGTAAACCATTCTGGAGTTGAACAGCATATCAGTAACTGTAAGTACAGCTTTATGCTCCAGGAAGGGGCACAACTGGTGCACAACATAAAGCCATGCAAACACCTTCTTAACTAAGACTTCTACATGCTTCTCAAGCATCAGGTCTATCTGGAGCAGTGTCACCCCAACCAATTCCCAGATTTCAGAAGACTCAAAAACTCAGAGCCACTCAATCTTATCAGGATTCAACTGCAGCCTGTTGTTTCCCATCCAGATCCTCACAATCTTCAGGCACTGAGCAGGACATCAACAGCATTGATTAGTTTGCCAGGGGCAGAGATATACAGCTAGGTATCACCAGTAAACTGATGATTCCTCACCCTACAACAACAAATGAACTCACCCAGGGATTTTATGTACATGTTAAGTAAGTGTAGAGAAAGTACTGAACTGCATGGAATCCAATATAAAATGAGCCAAAGGCAAGACTTTTAACTCAATCAGTATCCAATACACCTTGGAGAGGTATAGTAAACCAAAGATAGCTCCCCAAAAGCAGAGCCAATTATCATGGCAAAGATCAAGGAATTAGTGAGTAGACTGGTTCCCTGGAACTTCTCCAGAGAAGTAGAAGATGGGATACTGTTAGTGTTTGGGGATAAACCCCCGAGCTGAGTGCACAGCAGCAGTCAAGCCAGGCAGCCAAATGAGAGTGAGGCTGGGCCCAAGAGTATACACACGCTTGAGACAAAAACACTGTTTGTGGTTTTAAATAGGTATTTAATTCATACAGAGATTAAGAAGAGTCATTCAGTCCATATGTCAGTATCCAGTTTATCAATCCAGTTACCTAGTCTTTTAAACAGTAAATACAATGTCTTTATCAGCTTGTAAATCTTCTTCTTCTGATACCTTTCTCTCAAAGACAATGCTGAATCCACAGCTCACCAAGCAAACAGTCCTTGTGTTCAGTTGAGAGAAGTATCTTGCACAGTAGACATCTCATACAGGAGTAAACAGTAGTAGGCAGACAGACAGCAGACAGACCAGAGACCGGTAACACCAGGAACCAGGAACTCGAAACCAGGATCAGAAACCAGGAAGTGTTACGTCTCTCTCACTGCCTCTTATTGCAGCTTGCAACCGCACCCATAATTATGCAATGACATTGCAGTTTGGAGCTTAAAGTTGCAAACACTTACACCTAGGTTTTATATATTCATTCACCCAAACCAGTTGGTGTATCCATATACCCAACA